TTAGTAGTAGTATAAAATGAATGTAATTTTGAAGGATAATAAAAGTCATATTTAGAAAAGTAAAATCTGTTCTAAACGCAACATTATTGGCGACCGTGGTGAGATTGAATTGTATAGAAAAATCCAAAGTACCCACATCGGAAAATGGATGTAGAAAAATTGAAAAAGAAACGAGCTGTTCTGAGGAGCAATGCAACGAAGCTGATGAATAAAATGTTAGATACAGAAGTACCTGTGGTGGAATTAAAAGCGAAACTTAATATGTTGAATGATTTGGAACCCGAGATCAACATTCTCAATGAAAGAATCCTGGATATGATGTTAGACGATTTGGATAACGAAAAGGAATGCGAGGATGAAAATTATCGTTGTCACATCATAACAGAAGAAGTACATAAGTGTCGTATTATAATAGAAGAAAAAATATCGATATGTTCACTACAAACACAACGTATAAGCAATGAAGATGGTCATAGTGGTACTGTAAAGAGTGATGGATCTGGAAAGATCAATAATTTTAAGTTGCCTAGATTGACATTAGAAAAATTTGATTTGGCACCAGGTAACTTTTTATCGTTTTGGTCACAATTTGAGAGAATACACAGCAGTGAAGATCTTGATAAAACTACTAAATTTATGTATTTACGCATGAGTTTACTAGGGTCAGCTAAGATACTGATGGACACATATCCTAACACTGCCGCAAACTATGATAAAGCTGTAGATCATTTAAAGAATAGATATGGAAGAGATGAATTAATTGTTCATGCTATATATAAAGAATTGCTCGCTTTAGTCCGGAGCAGACCATCATTATCAAAGTTAAATGATGTCATATCAGCGAAAATTAGGAGTCTTGAGTCCTTCGGTTTCAATAGTGAGAGAACCGCATTATTAGTTCCTTTAATCGAAGAATGTCTGCCGGAGGAAACGCTGATACTATGGGAAAGACGTGAGTCAAAATCAAATGAAAATAAATTAGACGAATTGATGAAGTTCCTGAGTAAAGAAGCAGAAACCTATGAAAGAATACAAAACTGTAAGGTCGAGTCTTCACCGTCGAAGAGTACTGCTGCTGCGTTAGTCGCTGTACCTCAACAAAAATCAAAATCTGAACAATCTCGACCTGTTACATGTGTGTTTTGTTCAGAATCTCATTTTAGTCAGAATTGCAAGAAAGGATTGTCTATTGAGGAGAAGCAGAAAATTGTGAGTAACCAAAAACTTTGTTTTGCTTGCTTGCGTCCCGGGCACTGTCGGTTTCAGTGTCGTAAGTATGTTAAATGTTCTAAATGTAATCAAAAACATTACGATATTATGTGTGTTCCACGTACTCCTACAACTGCGGTTAAGGAGACACCCACTTTAGTGGCTTGTGCTGACAAGCCAATGGTTATAATGCAAACTCTCGTTTGCTACGTACACACAGGTCAACTTATTCGCGTATTGTTAGATTCTGCATCCCATAGGAGCTATATAACCAAACGTTTAGTGCAAATAATTAAGCCAAATTTAATAGGACAAGACACTTTCAAACACATGTTATTCGGAGGACAAATATCCTCAGAGATAGCGCACAATCTTTATGAAATTGAACTTATAAGTTTAGGTGGTAATAAGAGGTTTAAAATGAAGGTCCTTGATCAAGAACAGATTTGTGGAACAATTGACACTGTCAATTGTGAAATGATTGAGGAAATAAACCAGCTAGGCATAATTCTAGCTGAAGATGGAGTAAATCGACCCGTTGACATACTAATTGGAGCAGACACAATTGGAAGTTTCATCACAGGAATGAAACTTATTAACGAAACATTAATTGCATATGAAACCGTATTGGGATGGTGTCTTTTAGGTACGTCATCGAT